TAAAACTGCTTATTTGGTAGTTTGCCTTGCAATTTGGGTTGTTTGATTTAGTAGTATTTTAGTAGGGATTTAGAGTTACAGAAAGATGAATTTGTTTTTTTATTATTTAGAGTATACTTTATTAATTTCTGTAATCAAACTCACATAGATAAGACCTTATATATTTAATTCAATGTGTTTATACCTGTACAAATGGAAAAAATTAAGCTTAGCGTTTCTAGGCCAATATAGCCATTAATGTTTGTACAATGTACTTAACATGGTAAACTGGGATACTTTTTCCAATGTTGACAACACAGTTAAAGTTTGCAAAATTTCAAAGTATATATTAGTATGTATACTCATTTATATTTATATAAAAAGACCAATAATAGCAGCATGTTCTGCATCAGTAGCAGCAACAGCTTTCCAGGTTCTGTAGTGATGTGAATAAATTAGACATCCGGCACATTCCTTAATAAAAAAAAAAAAAAACAGAACCCCAGAAAATGCGAAGTGTTCTGTTACTGTTGTGGTACCTGGCACCATTTTTTAAAATTAGCTTTTCAATCATCAAAAAGATGAATTTTGTTGTCAGCCTTCTATATTGAATTGGAAATTCATAAGAATCTGAGAATCAACTTACTGATTTTCAAAAGAAATAGAAGGACCCGTGGGGATGGCGTCAAGGGGTCTGCTAACACAGTCATAATGAATACTTTAGTGATATTGGAGTCTTCTTTTTTTTTTTGGGGGGGTCCGGTCGTGGGGCCTGAACTCTGGGCCTGGGCGCTGTCCCTCAGCTCTTCAGCTCAAGGCTAGCGCTCTACCACTTGAGCCACAGCGCCACTTCCAGCTTTTTTTTTTTTTCTTTTTACTTATGTGGTGCTGAGGAATCGAACCCAGGGCCTCATGCATGCAAGGCAAGCGCTCTACCACTGAGCCACCTTCCCAGCCCCTGGAGTCTTCTTTACTTCATTCCTTTTCCTCCCTTTCACTCTCTAAATCCTCCTTTTCCTCCCTTCCCCCCTTAACCTTTCCCATCTTTTTATTTTCTTTCTGCCAGGAATTGAATCAAGTTCTCATATTCTAAGCAGCTACTGTACACCTCCCACCACACACACACATGAATTCACACATACATAGTCCGCAACATTGACTTTTTTTTCCTTAGAGCATGAAATACTTCCCCTTCAACAAAAATACCCTTTCACATTAACTTACCTTTTTTTTTTTTTTTTTTTGTCTTGTCATGGAACTTGAACTCTGGGCCTGGGCACTCTCCCTCAGCTCTTCAGCTCAAGGCTAATGCTCTACCACTTGAGCTCAGTGCCACTTGTTTTTCTAGTTGTTTATTGGCTATAAGAGTCACAGATGTTCCTGCCTGGGCTTGCTTCAAACTGGAATCCTCAGATCTCAGCCTTCTGAGTAGCTAGGATTACAGATGTGAGCCACCAATGCTTGTGTCTGTGTCTGTGGGCTTGAACTCAGCCTAGGCACTATCCTTGAGCTCCTTTTTGCTCAAGGCTAGTAACTAACTTTACCACTTGAGCCTCAGTGCCACTTCTGGCTTTTTCTGTAATTAATTAAAGAGCCTTTCTTGCTTGGGCTGGACTCAGAAGGCAATCCTCGGAACTCAACTTCCTCCTGAGTAGCTAGGATTACAGTCATGAGCCACTAGACACACGATGATCTTTTAGATGATTTACAGGACTCAGAGAAACTTACGGTTATGCCTTATTACAGTGAACATACAGGTTACAATCAGCAGAGAAAAGGTGCTTGGTGAGAAGTCCAAGAGAAAGTCGATGCAAGCTTCTTGTAAGCATTCTTTTCCAGCAGTTAGACAGTGAGCTAATTATGCCTGTGACAGCATGAGAGAATACATGGTAATATTGTTAGGCAGGCATTCTCATCTGAAACTTGAACTCTTGGTGCCTCAATTGCTTGGACGCTGGGTCCACACAGCGGTCATCCTGAATACAGCAAGCACTAGGTATTCTGAAACAGGCATTTTTTCCCCAGAAGGCATACTGTGGAGTTAGCACTCTGGCTAAACTCATACACTGTCACTGAAAGGGCTCAGACACACTAAAACACCCCCTCCCTCCCTCCCTCCCTTCCTCCCTTCCTTCCTTCCTTCCGTTGTTGTGGGGCTTGAACTCTGGGCGTGGGCGCTGTCCCTGCACTTTCCAGCTCAAGGTGAGCACTCTACCACTTGAGCCACTGTGCCACTTCCGGTTTTCTAGTGGTTTATTGGAGATAAGAGTCTCATGGACTTTCCTGCCCCGGCTGGCTTTGAACCTCGATCCTCAGATCTCAGCCTCCTGAGATTACAGGCTAGGATTACAGGTGTGAGCCACCAGTGCCTGGCCTAAAACATTTTTAAGAGACAGAATATTCTTATAGGTTCTGCTATGTAGAACAGCATTTTGTTTTCTAACATATAATCACATTTGAGTTTGTCTTAACATTGTGAGACTGAATGATATCCCAATTTTTAGAATGGCGTGCGTGTGTGTGTGTGTGTGTGTGTGTGTGTGTCTATTAAGATATTTACACTTTTATTTTCTACTAGAATGATTGTATATGGTATTATAGTTTGTGTAAAGTTTTTGTCTTCAGCTCTTATGAAGGTCAGAATTATTATTATCATTATTGTTATTACTAGAGAGAGGTTTCTCTAGTCTAGCAGATGGCCTTTTCATTTGTTCTGCCTCAGCCGCTTGAGTGCTGGGATCACCGCTTATGCTCTCATGATTAGCCTGGATTATTGTTATCTATGTTGTGTTTGTATCTTCAGGTGTTTTTTTTTTTCCTTTGGGAGGGGGTTCGGTGTGGGGCTTGAACTTGGCCTGGGCGCTGTCCCTCAGCTCTTCAGCTCAATACAAGTGCTCTACTTGAGCCCCAGCACCACTTACCGTTTTCTAGTGGTTAATTGGATATACGAGTCTCATGGACTTTCCTGCCCGGGCTGGCTTTGAACTGTGATCCTGAGATCTCAACCTCCTGAGTAGCTAGAATTACAGGTGTGAGCCACCAGTGCTTGGATGGGTTTTTTTTTTAATTGTTATGGTAAAGGTGATTTACAGGGCCAGGAAGTTGGCTCAGTGGTAGAGTGCTTATCTCCCATGCATGAGGCGCTGGGTTCAATTCCTCAGCACCACATAAGCAGAAAAAAAGCCGGAAGTGGCACTGTGGCACAAGTGATAGAGCGCTAGCCTTGAGCTGAAGAGCTGAGGGACAGCACCCAGGCCCAGAGTTCAAGCCCCATAACTGAAAAAAAAAAATGATTTACGAAGGGGTCAGTAGTTATATAAGTCAGATAATGTATACTTTCTTTTTGAACAGAGTTACCTCTTCCCTGTTTTTTTTTTTCCAGTTTTTCCCTCCTGACCCTCCTTCCTGACAAGTTGTATAATACATTTTCAACATAGTGTCTAGTGAGTATCACTGCTACATTTGTTCACCATTTGTCCCACCCTTTCTGTGCTCCCCCTTCCCTTCCCAAGACTGATAAACCTACATAGGAGACAAAAGAAACAAAAACAGAAATAAAGGAGGAAAAAATAACCCAAAAAATATGAACCAAAAGCAAAATAAAACAAAACAACCCAAACTCTTCTCGTTTCCATTTCTTGGAGTTCATTTCAATAAGCATCATCTTAGGTGAATATAGCTATTGAGCCTTTGTGATCCTCTCCTAAGAATATCCTCCTTTGATTTCCTTGTGTGAATGTCTAGAGTCCTAGATAATTTATCATGTCCAAGTGTTTTTTTTGTCTTTCAGCATCCAGTGTGTAATAAATTTATAGGCACATTCTAGTTAAAATAAATGAGGGAAATCATGCAACCTATGTTTCTTTTATTTCGCCTAATATATTTTTCCAAGTCTTTTTATTTCCTTACGAATGATACAATATCATTCTTTCTGATGGAAGCATAAAATTCCATTGTGTATATACACCACATTTTCTTAAGTTGATCTGAAAGTTCAGTTTCATTCTTGATGCAGAAGTAGTTTGAGTTTGGGGCTGAGTTTTCATTCTTAATGTAAACTTTAATGTTAAATCTGGAACAAGTCAAAGTTTGAAAAAGTGATGGCTTATTTTCTATTGCTGCTGCAACAAAATCACTCTGAATTTGGTGTCTTAGAAAAATACAGATCTTAATTTCTCTTAGAGTTCTGGAGTCTAGAATTGTGAGGTCTGTTCCATGTGGCTAAGGTCAGGTTTTGACAGGACTGACTTGCTTCCTCAGGCCTATAAGAACAATCCATTTCCTGTCCCTCTTAGCATCTGGTGGCTATTTTTTCTTGACTCTGGTCCCTTCCTTCATCCTCAAAGCATGCCACTCCAGTATCTGCTTTACCTTAGGTGTCTCTTTGCTTATCTGATCTGCTTTTACTTCTCATTTATAGGATCACTTGATTACATTTAGTCCCTTTCTGGATAATCCAGAAATATTCCAACTCTCAAGAGACTTCGTTTAATCACGTCCCTTTTGCATGCTGTTGATAGGTTTTGGTGAGATTTTTGTAGAGCCGTTATCCAGCCAACTGCATATCTCAGCACTATTTTGGATGGGAATTTTAGTTGATGTTTTCTTTTCCTAAATACACAGTATCATTTTTTTTTTCCTAGTGGAATAACTGGGCTGGTTTTTGTACTCAGTTCTTTTGTTGGTCATGGGGCTTGAACTCAGGGCCTAAGTGCTCAGGCTTAGCACTCTATCACTTTGAGCCACAGTGCTGGCTTCTGGTTTTGTGGTGGTTAATTGGAGTTAAGAGTCATGGCTTTCCTGCCTGGGGTGGCTTCGAACTGTGATCCTCATATCTCAGCCTTCTGAGTAGCTAGGATGACAGATGTGATGTGAGCCACCGGCGCCAGGCTTGTACTCAGTTCTTAATTTGTATTTCTTTTTTCTTTGTGTCATATGTGTGCTTTCCATAGTGTCAAGATGAACAGTTTCTGTCCCGCCTACATGAATAATAAGTTTTAATTTTGCATTTTGTATTGTAGTTGGTGTGATACGGTGTCCAGTGTGCCGCCAGGAATGCAGACAGATAGACCTTGTGGATAATTATTTTGTGAAAGACACATCTGAAGCCCCTAGCAGTTCTGATGAGAAATCAGAACAGGTATGCACCTTAATTTTTCTTTATATTCTTGTCTTGAAATCAGTATGTAAATTAAGAAAAGCATGGTTGGATAATTAAGTCATTCAAATTGAAAACAATAAAGGATAGCTTTTTCTTTATCCTCAAACTTGGTTAATTGAAACAATTATTACTTAAATAATCAGTATCTGGTGGCTCACACCTGGAATCTCTACTTACTGGGTAGATGAAATTGAGGAGGATCTCAGGTTGAGGCCAACTTGGGGAAGAAAATTAGCAAGATCTCATCTTAGCAAAACAGGCTGAGTGTGGTATTGCATGCCTGTAGCCTGAGTTATTAGGAAGGTATAAGTCAGAGGGTCGTAGTCTGAGGCCAGCCTACAAGAAAACATGAGACTATCTGAAATAACCTAAAATCAAAGAGGCTGGAGGTGTAGCTCAAGTAGGCTTGCATATGTTTAAGACCCTTGAGTTCAAGTTCTAGTGACTTCAAAAAACAACAGCAAAGAAAAGTCAAATCTGATTTAGACTGTCTGTTCTGAGCTTTGGAATTTTATCTGCCTCAATGTTTGATCTCTGAAGAGGATTTTCTTGGGGATAAACGGATAACAAAATGATTTTATTTTTTATTTTAGTTTATTTATTTTTGGTCGTTGCAAGGCTTGAACTCTGGGCCTGGGCACTGTCCCTCAGCTCTTCAGCTCAAGTCTAGCACTCTACCACCTGAGCCACAGTGCCACTTCCAGTTTTCTGAGTGGTTTTATTGGAGAAAAAGAGTTTCATGGACTTTCCTGCCCAGTCTGACTTTGAACTATGATCCTCAGATCTCAGCCTCCTGAGTAGCTAGGGTTACAGGTGTGTATTTTTTATTTTTGTGTTGGTCTTTGGACTTTTGAACTAAGGGCTCAAGGTTTGCACTCTACCACTAGAACAATAGCTCCACATCTGGCTCTTTGGTACCTTTATTGGAGATAAGTGTCTCAAGTCCTTTCCTGCCTGGCCTGGCTTCAAACTGGGATCCTTAAATTTCAGCCTTCTGAGTTGGATTACAGTCATGAGCCACCAGCACCCGGCTAATTTTATTCTATATACATCAGTGTAGCCAATATATTTGAGAAAAAGTTTGAGAAGTTTTTTTTAATTGCTTTATTTTATGAGTCTATGTTGGGAAATTTAATATGGGTTAATATTTGTCTTTTATAGGTATGTACTAGTTGTGAAGACAATGCGAATGCCGTTGGCTTTTGTGTAGAATGTGGAGAGTGGCTGTGTAAGACCTGTATTGAAGCACATCAGAGAGTCAAGTTCACTAAAGATCACCTGATCAGGAAGAAGGAAGATGTCTCAGGTAAGAATCCCAGTGATCCTCACCAGCCTTACTCTTCGGATACTGTAGCATGGTCTCCTCATTTATGCATTTTGAATACTAGCCTCAGTTAAGAATTTACAATGTTTTCTGGGCATGGTGACACATGCTTATAGTCAGCACTTGGAAGGCTGAGGTAGAAGGCCAAGGCTAGCCTGAATTACATTTAAAAAAAAATTAACATTAGCCAAAACTTTTATTTTGTTTAAAAAGCATTTGTTTTATTTTGCTACAGAGTCTGTTGGAACATCTGGTCAGCGTCCGGTTTTCTGCCCTGTACACAAACAAGAGCAGCTGAAACTTTTTTGTGAAACATGTGATAGACTGACCTGTAGAGACTGCCAGCTATTGGAGCACAAAGAACATAGGTACAGAGGCCATAGTTGCTTACAGAGGAATACCTCAGAAAGTTTGTAAAACCAGTCTTAAATCTCTTGGCATTTAAAATCCAGGTTTTACCTTCATTGTTTTTTATTATATATATTAATTATATATTGTAAGGGATTTCATTATGATTATTTCCAGGTATCTTGTTTCTTGAAGTAATATGCTTTGATAAATTAATACTTCTCATGTTCACATTTAATTGATTTAAGAATATTCGTCAAAGTATATCATTTTGTGGATTTGGGTTTGCAGAATGGAGCTGTGTTATTTCTCTGCTTGCTGTTTCTATTGTTCAGATAAGCACTGTCCACCTGTAATGTATTCAGGCCATAGGCTCTAATCTGAAAAGACAGTATTCTCACAGTAGCCAGCTGATGTCCATTTTAACATCAGAGCCTGAACACTGACTTCATGGTAGATGTGTAGTTTGCAGGAAAGATAGGGATGTATGAACAATCAGTAAACATAATTTCTACATGTTAGGTATTCCTTAATATGTAACTTGTATTAACCATATTTTGACTGGATCACTGATACTCCTTTAAGAATGTTTCATCTGAACTATTCTAGAACTGTACTGAAATCTTTTGTCACATTTAACAAAATGTATACACGTATATATACACATATATAGACACATACACGTGAGTATATGTGTGTATGTGTCTATATATATATATATATATATATATATATATATATAGTATATGTATTTCAAAATTCTGGAAGTGATACCACGGTACCTTTGTATTACAAACAAAAAAGATGGTCTGGCTTATTCAGAGTGTAGAATTTTCTGAAGTCTTTCCTAAGACTAAGTAAGTTTTATAGGATTTTGTTTCCAAGACAGGAAAGTTTAAATGTTTGTTGTTGTTACTGTTTTGAGGTGGAGTGTTACTGTGTTGCCCAGATTGATTTCCAACTTGTAATCTTTCTACTTCACTTAACCTCCTAAGTAACTGAGATTATAGACAGTTCTACTGCACTTGGCTTAAGTAGCTTTTCTGCCCCCTCTTCTCTCCCATTCCTCCTCTCTCCCTTTCCTTGGCAGTACTGGAATGAACTTTGTGCCTCATACTTGCTAGGTAGTCATACTCCTAGCCTTCAAATATTTTTTACCCCCTAGTCCAAGAGGCTTGAATTCAGGGTCGGGTGCTGTCTTTGAGCTCTTTGTTCAAGGCTACTCTGATGAGTCACATCTCCATTTGTTTTTTTTATTTTTTGTTTTGGTGGTAAATTGAAGATAAGATTCACACAAGACTTTTCTGCATGTGCTGGCTTTGAACTGCAATTCTTAGATCTTACTCTCCTGAGCTGAGTAGCTAGGATACAGATGCTTTAATAAATGTGTTTATTAACCTTGAATTTATTCAATGAATTTATTGAAGCAGGTTGGATACTATAATCGTAATTACTAGCGATTACTGCATCCTTACTTTGTGCCAGACACATTTTGAATGCACATTCAATGTATACCAACTATTCCTGAGGTTAGGTAATGGTATTATGACTGTTCTAAAGGTTAGGAAATCGGTTCACAGATTTTGTGATCTGTACAAACATTCCCACTAAGTGGCAGAGCCAGGATTAGAGCACTGACATTTAGGTTCCAGATCTCTTTTTAGCCTATATGCCCATTTTCCCTTACAGTGCAGTACACTGCATTTGTACTGTGCATTTGTACTGTGATGAGATTGTAAATGACACAGCTTTCAGAATGTGTCCTATCATGAAGTGGCAGTGTTCTATATTCAAGATCATGTCTCCCCTTGGTATTTCACCTGGATATTACTGTTGTATAACTCACCTCATTGGACTTAAAAAAAAACCAAGTCTCAGCTGGGTACCAGTGACTCATGTCTGTAATCCCAGCTGCTCAGGAGACTGAGCTCTTGAGGTTCGCAGTTTGAAGCCAGTCTACGTAGGAAAGTCCTTGAGACTCTTATATTCAATTAGCCACCAAAAAGCCAGAAGTAGCGCTGTGGCTCAAGTGGTAGAGTACTAGCCTTGAGCACAAAAAAAGCTCAGAGACAGTGGCCAGGCCCTGAGTTTAAGCCCCAGGACTGACACAAAAACAAAACAATAAAACCTTCCAAGTCCCCTTCACAGTAACATATTTGCTACTGTTCTCTCTGCTTTGAGGCTTACTATGTCAAGCCACCCTGTCCACACTGCTAGGAGGATAATTTTGATGAAGTATAGTTGACTCATAAAACAGCATTCACATTCACAAGAATGATACACTGTTATTTCAGGTGTTGAGTGTGGCACACATTGGACTTGACCTGCACCTGTCTTTCTCCTTGCCTACAGATGACTTTCATCTCTCACACCACCTGGAGAGTTCGTATGGGGCAATGACAGGCCTTCTGAGCTGATGAGCTTTTACTTTCTTTAAGTTGAGTGGATGCCTCTCGAAGAGGATGCTTATCCATTCACTTTGGAATTACAGTGTATAAACTATGCAACTTTCTGTTGACTGAGAGATGCTTATAGGGTAGTACCCAAATAATCATAGGATCCAGCATCTTCTCAAGTGGTTTTGGGGAAAGGGGTTGGGGTGGGGAAGAGGCTTGTAAGTATGAGTGTTTCTCTGCATTCTCTGGTCTGCATAAACCATTTCCATCTTAACAGAGCACTCTTCTAGACTTTGCTTTTCTTAGTTTTCAGATTATTTTATGCTAATCTTAATAATAATCTGTTTTCGTTATGCGCAGCAGCTATTTTTCCTCAAATGGTGTGTATTGTAGTACAGAAATTCATATAGATATGTGTGCCTACCTATAGTGCCCCCTCTAGAGATTCTTCCTCTCCAACCCAATTATTATAAGAAATATCTCAGACATCAGGAATGTCATCCTTTAGCTGTATTTCATACTGCATATGTGTTAGAGACTGTTTTGTCAGTTATTTTCTAAGTAACCCAGTAAATACACAGTCTAGTTTGGCTTAAGATTATTGTAAAAATGATACACGTTCAATAGAAACAGTACCTGATCTGGCTCAATAGCTCAGGCCTGTAACCCTAGCTAATTGTGAGGCAGAACTCCTCAGGCGATCAAAGTTTAGGTCAGCCCAGACCAAAACAAAAGTTTAAGAGACTACCTCTCAACTGGTGGTTTGGCACAATGACACCAGGCCTGACATCCCAGCAGTGCAGTGATTTACACATAGTAAGATTACAGTCCAGCCTGGCTGAGGGGTGCCCTGAGACCCTATCTTGAGAATAACTGATGCAGAAAGGGCCTGGTGGAATGGCTATACCGTGGTAGAATGCCTGTTTATCAAATAGGAGATCTCGAGTGCTGCCAAAAAAGAGAAAAACAACCCCTGCTTTCTTTGAAGTTTGGTCTTTTCTCAGGCTAGCAGTTTATAGTATAATAATCATTCTCAGGTCTGGGAGGGTGGCTCAGTGGTAGAGTGCTTGTCTTGCATGCACAAGGCCCTGGGTTTGATTCTTCAGCACCACAGAAGCAGAAAAAGTCAGAAGTGGTGCAGTGGCTCAAGTGGTAGAGTGCTAGCCTTGAGCTGAAGAGCTGAGGGACAGCGCCCAGTCCCAGAGTTCAGGCCCCATGACCAACCCCCCCCCCCCCCCAAAAAAAAAAAAAAATCATTCTTCTTGGTTTTCAGGGGCCACATTTTCTGGTAGGATTTTTTTGTTAGTTTTTTTTGGGGGGGGGGGTCTGGTTGTGGGGCCTGAACTCTGGGCCTAGGTGCTGTCCCTCAGCTCTTTAGCTCAAGGCTAGTGCTCTACCACTTGAGCCACAGTGCCACTTCCGGCTTTTTTTTTTTCTTTTTGCTTGTGTGATGCTGAGGAATCGAACCTAGGGCTTCATGCATGCAAGGCAAGCACTCTACCACCTTCCCTTTTGTTTTTAAGCTGGTCCTGGGGCTTGACTTAGGGCCTAGGCGCTGTCCCTGAGCTTTCTTTGATCAAGGCTTTCTACCACTTCTGAGCTTTTTGGTTCTTAACTGAAGATAAGTCTCGCCAGTCTTTCCTGTTCTGGCTTACTTCACATGTTGATCCTAGATCTCAGCCTCCTGTCTAGCTCTTTTTAGTTCTTTGAGTAGGTGGTGGCAGCGTCTTTTCTTTGTAAATGTCCAAGGTATTTCTAAGAGTTTTAGCCATTTAGGAGTGGGGGCATGGCTCAAAGTCCTGAGTTCAATTTCTAAAACTATTCAAAGGAAAAGGAAAACATTGGAAAATTTGGGCTGGCTTTTGCATATTTGATGAATCAAATGAATCAGTGAGCTTGTATTGGTTATGTGTGCTCCATTTCTGATATGACCATGACATCAGACAGATGTCATCAAACACTGTTGTGTTATACACACTTGAGAGCTGCACCAAATCTCTCTTCTAACCAAATTACGGCAGTGAGCTTGTGAATTGATGTAGTAAATATAAATCAGATTCCTCCTATATAAAGGCAGATTAAAACAGAACAAAACATGAGCAAGGTGATCCGGAGTGCCACTTTCCTTGGCCTGCGTCATGCATCTATGTGCTGAGACTGTGACAGGGTCTGTTTATGCAGTGGGACCATTTGTGCACATGTTAAAACAGTGCTTAGGAGTTGATCCCCAGACCACACAAGGTTATCATACAAACAATTCATTGTCATTAGCCTTTAACTTTTTTTATTTTTTCTTTGTCAGTCGTGGAGCTTGAACTCAGGGCCTGGGCACTGTCCTGAGCTGCTTTTGCTTAAGGCTAGCACTGTACTACTTGAGCCACAACACCACTTCCAGCTTTTTCTGTGTATGTGAAACCCAGGGCTTAATGCATGCAAGGCAAGCACTCTACTACTAAGCCACTTTCCCAGCCCCTAGTAAATATTTTTAAATTAAAATGGCCATTTCTTTTTGTCTACCAGGTATACTGTAGTATCCCAAATTAACATTGAGCATGCTGGGCACTGGTGGTTCACACCTTGTAATCCTAGCTACCTTGGAGACTGAGATTTGAGGATTGTGGTTC